AGACTGGTTTGTCTAAACGACGAGATTTAGGTTGAGGGACGATGGTTGTTAGTTTTCCGAAACATTATCTCCCAAAACCTTCGTCATAGATTTACGAATCAGTAGCTGATCCACAAGAAATGGAAAAGAGCCGAGAGACAACGGAAGTCCGCAAGTGGACCCCTGTTATACCAGGCCTCACCAGCAGAGGGCGCTGTTGCTTCTGTATCGTGGCGAGTGCTCCTCCCTCCCTATATAGGAGACCGAGGGAGGAGGTGGTGGTTGAACGCAGGTGTTGCGCGCGCGTTGAAGGCGGTCAATGCGTGCAGAGCTCATGCTGGCGGTAGGCATGAAGGAGACGTGCGGGTAAGGGGGGGGCGGAGGCTTGTCACGTCACCTCACGAAAGGGCAGCCCGGGAGGCGCTGGGCTCTTCTTCGCTTGAGGAAAGCGAGGTGGACGCGTGTGACCCGCTGCGGTCGCTGCTGACGCTTTCTCCCCTTCCCACGCTCAGCTCAGAATTTCCATTGGCTTTATGGAAACCGCTAACTCACTCTAGAGCACTTTGGATAAATGCGACCGCTAGAAGCAAAACCGTAAAAAACGGAGGCATGTTTCTTGGGGGATAAGAAAGTGAAAAAGTGTGTGCTCCAAATGTATTGCTCGGCAGCCCCATCATCCCCAATGCGCGTGGAAATTTGGGAAGGTTGGTGTACTTTGAGTGGCTTTAGTATCAGTTGGCAAGGACTCATACACACGCGCATAAATATACCGAAGAGAGACGGAAGAAAAAGTATCTTGCATTTCGTTTTATTTTGAGATCCCTGTGGTTTATCTTCTCCTCCCCAGTACTTTGTGTATGAAAGCAAGCATCCACACTTACACCCTCAAGCTAATTCTTATGTCTCTGGCGCAGTAGATGTTAGTCCATTAAAATTATGGCTAAGCATAGTAAGTAAAAGTTTCAAGGTACTGAAAACTGTTATGCCTTTTTTAAAAACAGAGAAATAGGTTGCCCAAGTTCTGCTGTTTAAGAAATGGAGCTAGGAAGTCTCAGTATATCTACCCTTTCCTGTTGCTCCAGGATGCCCTGTGGTTAGCTTGTGTCACTGCTCCCCCCCCCAGCTGTTGATGAGCATACTTATTCTACACCTGCAGAGAATGAGGTAGTCGGCCCTAAAGTGGTACATTGAATCATTTCTGCCAAGTTATTACATTTTTGAAACGCCATTTTTTCAGAGGTTCCCAATATAAGGCAGATGAATGCATTGTCCCCTTTCTTGTTTGTTCTACATTTAATTTGGGGTATGTAGTTAGGCCCCTGGGTAGAGAGAGTGGCCCTGTTTGCTATGGAACATTATGGTCCATCCTATTCTTAACTCCGTATTGTCACTTATCCCCTCTGGGCTGTTTGCTTGCTTCTCCGGTAGCAAGGTAACCCTGGTCAAGCATTAGATTTCCTGAAGACAGTGTTAACAATAAAAGGTGAAGAGGACAGTTGAGGAGATAGCTTCCTGTTTTACTTGCTAGATTTGCAACTAAAAATTAGGTAGTATCTGTCAGAAGACCCAACACCATTACATGGCCAAAGTCTGTGAATGTGTTGACTTGTTTACCCTTTAGTAGTTAAGTAATGTGCTATAGATTTGGGAAGGGAAAAACCATCTCTGGTGAAGGATGAAACAAGAATTCTTTGGGGCATGGTCCACTCTTTTTGCCACCTTGCTCTTTACTATGCAACCTGAGATGCTTTACTTGAAATTGAATCCCATTGATTTAGGTTGGGTTTAGATTTCTGAGACCTGTGGTTGCATTGCAACCTTGCAACCAATGACCTCCCCTGTAGATGTTTTTGGGTCTCTGGTTTTATAATATGTTTTCCAACCTAGTTGGTTTCCTCATGATTTAATCCTAGATGGGCTGGTTTTAAGCTCTCCTTACATACAATATAGATCCCTTTACCCCCACAGAGTGTTCCTTAATTTCACTTAAAAGATGTTTAACAATTGAATAGTTGATAGCAATCAGGTGCACAATATCAAGGGAGGAAAGATACAATCTTGTTTTCCTCTTATTTCTCCTGGTCATTAACATTTTTGTTGCATTCTGACTTAAGTTCTTTCTCATGAACCCAAACCTCAATTCAATGGTCTTATCCAGGGGTCTTCAAACTCTGCCTTTTTATGACTCATGGACTTCAGCTCCCAGAATTCCTCAGCCAGCGTTTGAAGACCCCTGGTCTTATCAGAGAATGTGTCTATAATGTAGGACAGCCTTCCTCAATCTGAGCACCCTCCAGATGTATGGAATCCAGCTAATAGAATTCCTCAGGAGGTGTGGCCGTTGCTGAGAATTCTGGGGGATTGAGCACCTGGAGGATGTCAGGAAGGTTAATATAGACACATGGCTAAGCCAGGAAATTATTCACAAACAAGGGAAAGACATTGAAACTGGAAGGGAGAGAGATTATTGAATTCCTTTCCAAAATTATATGTAAGCAGGGGTGAGTTCCTGAGTCAATAATTGCTTTGCCTTCCATAACAATCCAGATAGGTCATAGGCCATCTTGGTCATTTTTTGGAAAGGAAGGATGGGACTTCTTTTGAAAGTGCTTTCTGGTTTATCTTGTTGCTACCCAAATCTTCATTGTGCTCAGTTTCACTGCTGGAGAAGAGAGTGCTTGGTTGTAGAGCATTTGCTTTCCACATAGAAGAGCCTCCCTATCCACTAGTCAAAAGGGATTAGGGATTAGATCAGTGTTTCTCAACCTTGACAATTTTAAGGCATGTGGACTTCAACTCCCAGAATTCCACAGCCAGCAATGCTGGCTGTGGAATTCTGGGAGTTGAAGTCCACATGCCTTAAAATTGTCAAGGTTGAGAAACACTGGATTAGATAATGGGACAGATTTGTGTGCCTGAAACCTACTGCCACAATCAATAGTATTGAGTTAGATAAACAATTTCTCTTCCCTATATGAAAGCATTTCTGCTCTCTGATTATTTGAGATTAACAATAGATAAAAGGTGGAGTAGACTATTGGTTGATCAGTGTGATTTACAGCACAAATTTCAGAGTGATGTTTGACAGTAACAACAGATGAACAATTGGAAGAACAAAATTGTGCTGCTAAAATTAAAATAGCTAAAAAGAAAATAAGAAATGCCTGATGGTTTGAAGGGATTGTGAACTCTATTCTGGGAAATTCTTGGTTTGGGAAATGAATTGAATGTGTCTGTTTCACCTTGTTTGATACACTGCAGGATTGTAGTAAGGAAGAAAAAGTTATGTGAGTGTGAAATCTGTTCATTGCTGCTGCTTAATTTTAAAAGCCAATGTCTCAAATATAAGACACCCACACCCACACACACACACCAAGAGCCCTTAGAAAATTCTGCTTACCATATTTCATAATAATTCTATTCTTGGCTTGTGAAGAACCATATGGATCCCACAACATTCAAAAGTTGCCCACTCCTGTCCTAATCACACAGGAATATGATTTAGGATGCTTAAATAAAAGACAAAAAAGCAACTAAGTAGAATTTTGAAATGGAGATTATCAGTAGATAATGATGCTGGAAACTAATGCTAATGTTCCCTCTATAAGCATGACTGTTAGGAGAAAGTTACTTATGAATATGTGAAAATAATGTTTTTGTCTTGTACAGTAAAATAGAAAGAAGTTGGTTATGGGGATGAGGGTCTGCTTCAGACATTCCTGTACTTGCAGTGATCTGTTTCATACAGTAATGGGCCAAACTCTAGAAGGGACAACTATCTATTTAGCACTTGAGTCATTCTTAGATGTTGTATTTTCTATAATTATTTGATTCTAAGTCAAACATATCAAAATATTTTAAAAGCTACATTGAAAGATATTAGTTTAATTTATATTTATAATACAATGAAAAAATGAACTTGGGTGAGATCCTTATTAGTGAACACAATGCAAAACTTACAGATCATTTTATATTTGTAAAAGGCATGCAAAAGTGGACTTACAAATAAATGTACTGCAATAATCAAGCCAGGATAGACTGATCTTTAAATGTGTATCCATGCATTAAAGTCTGTAATACTAGGAAAACTGTTAAGAAGAGATACATTTCTAAAATTTTAGCTAACAACAAAGTGATGCTGCTTTCTGTGTAAAAACCTATCCTTTTTTTTTTTTTGCCTTAAGATGCAAGCTATCTTGAATACTGAATTGATATTAGTAGAAACCTTAGTTTTTAATATTATGGAAACGTGCCTTTGCTTGAACTGTAGAATTTCACTTCAGATATGAGGCTATTTCCTATAATAGCTTTTTTCCTGCAAATTCTGGACTTTAAATAAGATAAATTACTTAATATGCAATGGGAATGTGAAGAAAAGAGTTGGTTGTGATGGAGAAAAATAAACTCCTTAGTCTTGATTTATGTAAATTTTCTGTACAGAATTTTTTTGGAGAAGCAGCTGGAAAGGCACTACGGAATTTCTTCTCCCATTAGTTTGGCACCACCAAGGGAAATAGATTATATCTATTCACAGAAATTGATTGAAGCCCTGAAGCCTTTTGGTGTATTTGAAGAGGAAGAAGAGCTGAATTGCAGGTAAAAGGGAGTACATATAGTAACTACTGATCTTAAATGAACATTTTCTAATTACCAGAGTCATAATAGTGAGTTTTTCTTGGTGGAATTACAATAGGATAAACCCCTTGGCACCAATTTTTAGCACTACTTTTAAATGTTTTGTTTATGTTAAATATTTCCTCACTGCAGGTTAGCTGTTCTTGACAAACTAAATAACTTGGTTAAAGACTGGATTGCAGAAGTTGCTGAAAATAAGGTAAGAGGCCTGTCAAAGCTTGACTCCTCCAGACTATTTATCTTGTTTTAAGCTAGAATTCTGTTGGGAGTATTAGAGATTTAGCTGTTATCTGAGAGACGTTTGCTGTCAAGCTATAGGTACCCTGCCATATATCAGAAGACTAACTGTTCCCTCCATGGAGTTCTTCATCTCCCACTTTCCCTTCCTTCCTGCCAGCCCTATTTTGGAGGCAATTGGGATAATCTTTGAAGCCACAAGACTTGCAGCAAATGATACTTGATTGCTCTGGAAAGCTCATGACCTATCATTGTTGTTAAATCATTGATAGAGTCAAACTTTAACAAAAGCTCTCTTTGCAAAATTTCCTTTCCAAGGTGGAGGCAGGCAAGGCTGAAGACAAGATGTCAACTTACTTGAGATTTTTTAGTTAGCGAGTGTTTGCTCAAAGATTGGTGGATAAGCTACAATTGACTTGGCACACAGAATGCATTAAATCATAAGTTATGGCTTGAAGATTTCAGTGGCTGAAATTACAAAACATAAAACTGGGCAAACTACAGTACATTATAGCTAAGCATAATGCCAGAACATGCCAGTCTGTTGTATAATTTCCGTAAATGCACTCAGAGTGGTTCATAGAAGTTGATAAATTGGTTTACAGTTAAGTAGATATGCTATAAGTGGGAAAAAGAAGAAAAAAGATTAAGCAAATTTAAAAAATACTAGTTGCATAAGGAAGTACTGGGAAGAGCAAACAGCTTTAGCTAAGACCATTGCCATCTTACCACTGACGGCAAAACATGTTGGGAATAATGACTATNACTATAATTGAAATACTTCTGGAATAGGAGGGTTGATGAAAATGTTAACTGTTAAAAAAATTGAAGATAGTGGAAACACTGTTGTACCTCTGTGTGTGCACATGTTAAATATAGTTATATACATTATTGGACTCACTTATTTTTTCAAAGTATAACTTTTTCTACTTTCCTGTAGAATTTGCCATCTTCAATCTCATCCAGAACTGGTGGCAAAATATTCACATTTGGTTCCTATCGTCTTGGAGTCCACACCAAAGGTAAGATCTACCAGGTACATTGGACTGCAGCTGTTTACTTAATTTGCAGCTGGCATGGATAGGCTATCAGATTGGGAAAGGCTGTTATAAACAGTCTTGAACTGTGAACATTTTCATCTTCATCAACTAATTGCTATGACTGTTTTTCGGTAGGTGCTGACATAGATGCGCTCTGTGTAGCCCCTAGACACATAGAAAGATCGGACTTCTTCCAGTCGTTTTTTGAAAAGTTAAAGCTCCAAAATGGCATCAGAAATCTGAGAGTAAGTCTCTTTGTCTTTCTTTAACCATCTCGGGTGTACATGTCATTCACTTGATGGTTGGGCAGCACTGTGTGAAAGTGGTTTATTAACAAGCCTTGAGAGGTTCAGAAAGGCTGTATTGAAGTGATACAAAATTTGTAAACATGTTTTATTTTGTTTTAATTGAAGTTTAGAAGCATTCAGGTTTATGCGCCAAATTAATATTTCTCAACTTTCTTCCCTGCTAGCTGGAAAATTCTGGGAGTGTGAAGTCCACTGGGGGGACATTCACCTCTGGGGAAACATTTAGATCTGAGAGCTCTTCTATGTCTACATATAAGAAGTACTCTCCAAAAAATGAAGGCAGCAAAGGCAGACAGTCAATTTAAAATAAGTCATTAGTATGTTTATTTCCTATTTATTCATTTTCTTTCTATTGCATCAACAATTACAACTTTGAATTATGGGATGCACCCAGGAGGTCTGCCACAATATGAAAGCTTTATTTCTTATCCTCTCTTGTTTCCTTAGCTTTGGGAAGATCCCAAGTGCAGAAGCACTGATGTATGAGTAAGAGAAGGAAAAATATTGCTTTATCTAAGCTATTTTACAGAAAGGCTGCCTGTATTTGTCAGTTAAGGTTTTTTGAAGATGAATTTGTCAGGATTATTTTTTTGAAGATCCAGAGATACTGGGCCATTCAAGAGTAGTTAATAATAAGGGTAGTTAATTAATAAGAAGGACTAGGGGTGACATGATAGCAGTGTTCCAATATTTGAGGGCTGCCACAAAGAAGAGGGAGTCAAGCTATTCTCCAAAGCACCTGAAGGCAGGACAAGAAGCAATGGATGGAAACTAATCAAGGAGAGAATCAACCTAGAATTAAGGGGAAATTTCCTGACAGTGAGAACAATTAATCAGTGGAACCACTTGCCTCCAGAAGTTATGGGTGCACCACCACTGGAAGTTTTTAAGAAGAGATTGGACAACCATTTGTCTGAAATTATGTTGGGTTTCCTGCTTGAGCAGGGTGTTGGACTGGAAGACCTCCAAGGTCCCTTCCAACTCTTATTCTATTATTCTGTTAATTGTTAGAATTAGGCACTTTCTTACACCTTGTCTGGGATATAGAACCTAGGATTATTATATACTTTTATAATCTGAACTCTGATGTGGGGTGCTGGTATAACTTAAATTTTGTTTTAGTAAAAATAAACTTGCTATTTTAAAAATATGTGATAGATTCTGCTTTTTATTGAGGTATTTAAAGGTTATGTCTTTGGGGAGGCTGAGATATCTGAGCCCTCTGTTTTACTTTAGAAAAAGTTACATTGTGATTGTGTTGCATATCTTCATTCTGGAAGTAGTGAAATAATTCAAAACTACTTCAAGTATATGTTTTTCATTCCCTCCTACAGGCAGTTGAAGATGCATATGTACCAGTAATCAAGTTTGAATTTGATGGTATTGAGGTAAATATAGTTTTTGTCCTATTGTCAGTGGTGGGATTCTGCCTGTTTGCACCACTTTGGCAGAACCAGTAGCTAATTTTTTGTTGCCCAGGCCCAGAATGGACTTCCGGAAGGGGCATCCACACAGAGAACCAGTTGTTCACATATTTGAATCCCACCACTGCCTATTATGTACTGTACACAGCTTCTTGAAATTTGAATTTGATATACTGGTTGTTCTTTTTAAGAGCAGAACTTGTTCTTAAAGTGATGTTTGGATAAGTAGACAGATGCCTATATATATTTTCTCCAAGTGTGAATGAAGAGATGGAATAAACAGCTGAGATTAGGAATGGTTTGGCACTTAGCTTGAGCACTGAAGTAACAGAATTTTGCAGATACCCCTGGGAGCAAATTTGGACTAGGTTTCTATTAGTCTTCACAATGACATGATTGCTAGCATAAAAAAAATAGCTAACATTTATCTTTCCTTTTGAGTAATCAAAAAGAAAAGCATTGGAAAATAAACAATACTAATAATACGACAACAAAGTGGCAAGCAAATGAAAAATAGCTCTCATTGGAAATTGTAAATGAGGCATTTCTGTGTCAACATATAAAAGTAAAGTGATTTGCATTTATTAAACACATTTATTAAAAGATACTTGTGTACCCTAACATATATGTAAATTAAAGGAAGATATGTACAAGATCATATGTCATATGTTAGCAGACTGAGAAACAATCTTTTAAACACCTTACTAATGAAAATACTGAAATAGAGAAGATATTTACTAATTCACACAGCCTTGGGTTCAGCTAATAAATCTTGAGGATATGGGGAATATAGAAGTAAGTCCTGCAAAACTGAAGTCTGACTATAGTAAGTATAATGAGCATGCAGCAGTTTGTCATGGTGGCTGATATTATGCAGCTTTTTTTTTTACAGTTCCAGAAGACATGTGTATGAATTGCAAGATTGATTCAGTACAGTATTACACAGGCTATGTGTACTGAATTTTGTGAGATGTTTCTTCTACCTTCTGAGCAGGATACATAGATCAAACCAGAATGCCTGCTACTTGGTAGCACATTGTTAGAGTTACTGCTGAGATACCATTTTCATTTCTTACGTTTTAGATTGATCTTGTCTTTGCAAGACTACCCCTGCCAAGCCTTTCAGATAGCCTGGACCTTAGGGATGATGCCCATTTGAGAAGCCTTGATATCAGATGCATTCGGAGTTTAAATGGTAATTTAAAAGCTTTCCCTAGTCTGGTATCTTTATAACTTGGCTTGAGGATTCAGGCTAAGAATAATTGTCTTGTCTTTTCAAAACAGAAACAGTGGCTGGACGGTGATGTTCAAATGTGTGCATTATCGTGTGATAATGGATGGAATGGACCCATCCATTAATTTCCATTCATAAGCAATGGATGGAAACTAATCAAGGAGAGAAGCAATCTAGAACTAAGGAGAAATTTCCTGACAGTTAGAACAATTAATCAGTGGAATGATTTGCCTCCAGATGTTGTGGGTGCTCCAACACTGGGGGGTTTTAAGAAGAGACTGGACAACTATTATCCATATAGGGTTTCCTGCTTGAGCAGGAGGTTGGATTTAGAAGACCTCCAAGGTCCCTTCCAACTCTGTTATTCTGTTATAATGCTTAAAGCTTACTGTACGCATGGTTGCACGAATCTTCAAATTCTGAAATACAGTTTGCTTAAAACATGATGGAACTCTCATACACAGGTGTAAATAGCATGTAACACTTTTCAGCATTCAAAAAAAATGCTTCAGTTCTTGCAAAAATAGTTTTGCAACAAAAATTCTTCCAAAACTTGAGGCGCTGTCACAGAGAAGAGGGGGTCGACCTATTTTCCAAAGCACCTGAAAGCAGGACAAGAAGCAATGGGTAGAAAACATTAAAAAGAGCTCCAACCTAGAATTAAGAGAAATCTCCTGCAGTGAGAACAATTAATCAGTGGAATGGCTTGCCTCCAGAAGTTGTGGATGCTCCATTCCTGGAGGTTTTCAAAAAGACATTGGACAACCATTTGGTCAGAATGATATATCCTGCTCCAGCAGGAGGTTGCAGTAAAAGACTTCCAAGGTCCCTTCCAATCCTATTATTTTATATTCTAAAATCCTATTGGATAAGTCAGGAAGATCATAGTGTTATTGTTGACACGATATGACCAGATTAACACAAAGGCAAATTCTACCAGATCTTCACCAATATTAGAAAACCATAAACAAAACTATTCCACTACCATCTCACCAATATTGGAAAAATAGGCATTGGTTTTTAATATTGCTGCCCCAATCCTGCACTGGGTCCACTGCTCAGTGTACCCACACTCAGTGTACCCACTGAATACACCTAGGTGGAAATTGTAAAGAATCTTTATTCTGCTGAAGAAAATGACACAGGATCATCTGTCTCAAAGCCTCTCAAATATCTTCTGGTGAGGTTTAACCAGCATTTACCACAAGTTACAGCATGCATATATCACAGGGTCACAAGATATTTTTCCATGTTCCTTTAAAGTAAATCCTGCATTTTTAATATTTCAGCATTGCACATATGCATAATACAATACTCAACAAAGTTACGTAAGTTAACTAATGCTACATGTTCCATACCACAACTTTTCCAGCAAACTTCCCTTTTCAGCATCCATATTTAGCCATAATATTTGCAACTCTCTCCTGTTTGCCTTTTGCCTTATCCCATAATACACTTGGGGTTACAGTTTAGCAGGCTAAATATGCTTAGGCTTTTATTGAGCGTTTATCAAAACTTTATTGGGAATTTGGGGTTTTCTCTTCTAATATTCCTGTTCTTAAACAATTTGGCCATCTGCTGATAGAAATATGACATATAAAATCTTTATTAATTCATATGCTGTCTATGTATTTAATATGTTCATGTGTTAAAAGGCTAGTTTCTTCAGGAATATATCCTAGAAAATCTGGAGAGTTTGTATCCATCTTCCCAATTGGAAAGAAAAAACAAAAAATTAAGCTACAGTGTTAATATTGAGAGCCAGATTGGTATTGTGGTTAAGGCATCAGGCTAGAAATCAGGACACTCTGAGTTTTAGTTCTGCTTTAGGCACAAAACTAGCTGGGTGATTTTGGGCCATCGCCTTCTCTTAGTCCTAGAAAGCAGGCAATGGCAAAAAAAACATCTTGATGTTGCATGATTGTTATAGCAGCTAGATTTCAGGAACTAGCATTTAGAATAATCCTTGGATATGGAAAAATATGGTAAAATGGTCTGCGTATGAGTAAATCATCTTTTCCAAAAATTGTCTTTTTTATGTGAGATAACATTTAATATTACTGTTTCAGACCAGTTTTCATCATTTTTTTTCAGGATGACTTAAGCAAAACAAAGACTTTTGTTCAAGCTGGAATGTTTCAGATATGTTAAATTACATTCCAGTTACTGAATATGACTGGGAATTCTTGCCAATGTGATGTGCTGAATCTGGATAGCAAGGTGCTGAGGAATGCTGCTGTAAACCATTGCTTGCCATTATTGGTGCTTTGCCTATTTAACTTGAAACTTTAATGTTTGTCGGCAGGTTGCAGAGTCACTGATGAAATACTTCATTTGGTACCAAACAAGGAGAACTTCAGGCTGACACTCAGAGCAATTAAACTGTGGGCTAAGCGTAAGTACTTAATACATCAAATTTTGCACTGTCAGCTGCACAACTTAATAGTCCTTGAAATGACTCTTTAGGTTAAGCCAAGTGAGATTGTCATATATGAATGTTTTCTGCAAATCTTCATAATGGCAGTTGGGTCATAAATTTAGTGGATCCTGAAACAAATTTACATGTGTCTAATGTTTGCAAAGCAGCAGCTGGATATGTGTTTGCCATTCCTGTTAAATGCTCAAAACCTACTTTAAGCCATAGCAAGTAATTAAGCATTGGTATTTGAGCTGGACATTATCCAGATTGTATAAGTGACAGAACAATTAATCAGTGGAACAGCTTGTTTTCAGAAGTTCTGGGTGCTCCATCAAAAAGAGACCGGACAACTACTTGTCTGAAATGGTACAGGGTCTTCTGCTCAAGCAGAGGGTTGGACTAGAAGACCTCCAAGTTCCCTTTCAACTCTTGTTATTCTGTTACCAGAGTTCAGTCCTATGTAAGAACAAGAATAGAAATATTGCAGTTGCCCTATTACTACGTCACCTAAAAGGCTCTCCTGGGCCTGGCAAGTAGCACTGAGGTTCCTGTAAGAATTAAGAAACTAGTTTCTTCAATAGTATAACCAAGAAAATCTGATGAGCTGTTCCTCATTGGAAATTAGATTTGCACTCACTTTGTTATAAAAAATTATGTACAAATTATATCCTGTACTCTGCTGTAATTCCTGATTCATATTGCCAAAAAAGTTCAATCCAAATATTGAAGAAGTCACAGTGCCTTTCTCATTCTTATCAGTTATGAAGGTGCATTATTGGAACATACATATAGTAGCAGACATGACTACTCTTAGCATTTTCTGAAGTTATCCTTAGCTACAGGGAAAAAATGATTTGCTTCTAGACATTGAAAGACATTGATATTTTCCAGCGAGAGTGAAGTAGTTCATTCTTTTTTAGAGAATCCTTATAAACAAAATGTCAGCTCAATCAAGGGATTGAAACACATGACCTTTTAAACCAATATCTGTGTTTCTTTGCACATGCTAGAGGAGGCTCCCTATGGTTTAAGCATACTGCTGCCTACCAAACATTTTAGGAAGAGGTTTTCTACCTCATGTTAATTAAATGTATGCTTGTTCTAGAGGTGTATCCTTCTGATTATATTATTTAGGGTCTAAATGTGTACTGCTTTTCTATATATCTCATTCCTACTTAGTTTACAATAATCAGAACAAGAACTATTTTTAGAAGTGTCCTACTTTTAAAATGGTCAACAAAATATGTATCTTAAAAATTTGCAATATCCCCATTCAGAAGATTATAATTTGTAAACAGCTAAATTTATGGAAGATAGGTTTGGGGGCATTTAATAGAAACAACCTAAATTAATTTTCATGAACTGAGTCAAGATCCCTCTGAATATCATATGCTGGGGGTTACATTCTGAGAAAAGTGGAGCACTCGCCAATGTCTAGATAGATAGTCCTCGATTACAACAGTTTGTTTAGTGACCATTCAAAGTTACAACAGCACTGAAAAAAGTGACTTATGACTGTTTTTCACTCTTAAGAGCATCCCCCATGGTCACATGATCAAAATTCGGATGCTTGGAACTGGTTCATATTTATGATAGTTACAACATCCCAGGATCATGTGGTCACCTTTTGCAACCTTCTGACAAGCAAAGTTAATAGAGAAGCAGATTTGCTTAAAAACCATATTGCTAATTTAACAACTGAAATGATTCACTTAACAACTGTAGCAAGAAATGTTGTAAAATGGGCCCAAAACTCACTTAACAAATGTCTCACTTAGCAACATAAATTTTGGGCTCAATTGTGGTCCTAAGTCAAGGACTACCTGTACTGTAACTGTTTTGAAAATGGGAGATGGATATTGATGGTTCTAGGTCTGATTTGATATTCTGATAGATCTAATATACTAATTTGATAAAAGGAGATATAGGACATAGTTTTGTTCCAGAATGATACCGCAAATGAAGGTAAATATACGTATCGCAGGATGTTTCAGGATCCAATCTGAGTCGGTCACTGGGATCAAATGTTCATTCTTCCAAGTTTCAGGCTCATACTGGAGCCCATCATCAGGGAACTTCTGTGCTGCCCCCTCCCCCCTCCCACACACACCTATGGCAAGAGTTCTACAGGTCCTCGGAAAGCACCCCTGTTGCGCAGGTCCAGATTCCAAGCTCTGTACAGCAAGAGTAACTGGGTATCCAAGTCCAATGGGCATACACATCAAGTCCAGGAAAGCAGTCCAAGAGTCAAATAAGCCAGGATATGCAGCTCAAGCACATAAGGCAACACTCAAGTCCTCAGAGCGGGGTTAAGTAGGCAATGCCAGTGCAGCCCTCCATGAGAGGTGAGGTTGCCTCCTCATGAGTAGCCTATCTGACCAGACGTGTGCCTCTCTCCTCTGCTCTGTGTGGACTCCACCTCCTCCTCATTGCTAATGGGTAGCAGCTATTTCCAGTCCTAGCATGGAGCCTCCTGGCCAACTTGCTGCAGCTGGCCTCTCTCAGCCTCAGCCTACCCCTGGTCCAGTCGACCTAGCTGAGGCTGCTGCATCAGGCTATCATTCTCTGAGCCCGATCCTGACCAATAGTCCACTCCATACTTTCTCTGAAGACTCAAACTCCTCCTCCTTCTCCTCTGAAGGGGGTGGGGGGAATATGTGCACTGGGCTGTTCTCTGCATTGTATGGTTACTGATTGTGTGTAGCTTTTAGTTATTAATTAGGGTGTTGATGGCTGGCTATTAAGTCATTGATTGTTGTTACCTTGTGCTGCTGTGCCCTCGATTCCTAAGTACCTGATAGGCTGGTGATAAATCAGCACTCCTATTGACTGACAAGGGCCCTATTTTTCATTCTAATTTTAAGTCTCTTCTCTAGCCTTTGCTGAAACAAGGCTTTGAAATAATCCCTTGTGTATTGCCAGGCATTTGTCAGCCACCCAGAGCTTTTACAGCACGTGGTTCTGGTTAGACTTCAGACTGCTGCATGTTCAGTGCAATAAATGCTGCTATGATGTTACTAGAGCTGAAGTCTAGGGACCCAAATGACAGGGAGAGATGGGGGATAAATTGGTGGAAGGGTGCTGAGACTGACAGTAATCACTGCAACCTCTTTCCTATTATTAAAAACATTTTATTGCCAAGCTTGGCTGGATATACCTGCTAATTTTTAAAATATTTTTTCAGTGCCTTATTCCTTTAAAAAACCACTTATTACTAAGCAAAAAGGGCTTATTATCAAGTTAATCTTGCATTTGACAACAGAAGTAAAGAAGCTTTTGTAAGGGCATTGAATAAACTATTGTAAAATGCATATATAATTCAGGTAGATAACCCATCTATAAGCTTGAATTACAACCCAGCACATCATCCCTATCAAGCTGGTGGGCTGTGGACAGTGAGACCATGGGCTGAATCTGTTTTCCTAGGCTGGGTTGTCCAAATTGCACTTGCTCATCTGCTGTCCTTAAAGGGAAGTGAGTCAAATCAGCAGCACAGAGATATCTAACTCAGGTGTGCAGGAAACAGGAGAGAGGTGCCTTTTAAATTCAACCCTTTCCATTCTTGCCTGGCTTATAACACATAAATGGCCACAAGGTGGAATACTTTCAGAAGGAAAGCAATTGCTAGAATCAAAGTCTCAGTGAGAAATATACAGCAAATTGTTGCTGGGGAGCTCAAAATTAAACGTTAGTTAATGCAGTCTTTGGGCTGATGTGCAAGCTTCTGCTTCTGTTTCAGAATTTTTAGTGTTTTGGCTTTTCTGAGTGTTGTGCCATGTTAGATTCAAGAGATCTGCCATCAGATTTCATAGTCTGAGTTAGTTAAAGGATGTTGAGAGTTCTGTCTCCGAGTTAGTTAAAGGACGTGAAGTGGTTCTGTCTTTGGAAGTATTGCTGGTGGTCATGTTTTTCCACTTCTTTGCATTGTGCCCATGTTCTAAATTTCTTTCCTATGCCCAAAATGCTGCTTATTTCACTGAGTATTCAGTGGTGATAAAAGTAGTGGAAAATTCAATCATTTATTTCTTCCATCTCTTTTAACCTTCCTGGTTTAGAAAAGAAAATGAACTAGCTTAAATCAGATTGAAGCAGGCTGAATGATTGTGGCCTAGTTTTCTTTTGTCCTGATGTTTTACCAGAATTTGTGGCAGGACAAAAGAATACTAAAACAGACATTCAGCCCAAAAACTCATCACTGCTTCATTGATGCCAGCCATGATAGTCTACACCAGTATAATGAACGAGACTGTTTGAAATACTGAGTCACATATCTGTCTTTAGGGCGTGGAATTTATTCCAACATGCTGGGATTCCTTGGTGGTGTTTCTTGGGCCATGCTCGTGGCAAGGACCTGTCAGCTGTACCCAAACGCTTTGGCATCAACACTTGTTCACAGATTCTTCTTAATTTTTTCAAAGTGGTAAGATTTATTTACTTACTTACTTACTTACTTACTTATTTAGTAAATGCAGTGCTTTTTTTCTAAAAAAAAAGAAAAAAAGATGCCGGAGCTCACACAAGTCATACAACCCGCCTTGCCTACCCTACAAGGTTCCATCCAAAAAAGGTGCCAGAACTCCGTTCTGGGCATTCTATGAGAAAAAAAAAGCCCTGAGTAAATGTATAGACAACCCATCCCACTACCAAAGCAACTTTTGATTAATGTATGGGCCTCTACTGTGTAAGCAGTGCAGGCTATTTTATAGACTAACAAAACATTACACTAAGCTAGGATTGGCAAGCCAAGTGGCTTGAAATCATGTCTCTTCCTGATAGGTATTCATCCTAGAAAGTTGAAGGTTTATTATGCAAAGGGATTTGCCTTCTGCTATCCAAACTGGTTTACTGAAGACATTCACCTGGCATAGAATTTCTTCTGAGGAATTCAATTCAAAATTGCCTAGATTCTGGATGGTAGATTGCCTCAGAAAGACAACCATTACTAATAAAGTGAACATGCTCCTTAAAGAATGCTGAAAGAATATCATTTTTAAATACCACTCCAGTTAGCTTTCTCCCGCTTCTAATAGGACAAAGTTGCTCAGTAGAAGCCAATGCCAGAGTCCTTCTAGGAGTTGCCTGAAATAGAATTCTTAGAATGGCACAAGAGAAAAATACTTAAAGATTGCTGTGTGATAGCTGCATTTAGTTTAAATTAAATTTAAATATAAGAAAAATTAAATTATTTTCTCCCCATCTTCTTTTTGGAGTACAGCACTGATATTGCTTATAGGCCATCGTGGGGCTCAGCCTTATAGATAGTGTGAGTTCCAAAAAATTGTCCCTTAGTGGAACTGCTAAAATGATTTATATTTGGCTGTTTTATGTCTCCATAGGTGACCTTGGGCTTATTCACTTTTTGAATTCTTACCCTCCCTTTGTATTAGTTCTCAACGAGAATTGTTTTGGGGATTACAGAATCTTGCAGGATCCAATCTGGGTCAGTCACCAGAACCAGAGGTTTAGTTCATTACAGTATCTGGTTATAAGCCACACAATTAATCTCCCTTGCATTTATTATTTGTTGGCATTAGTATAAAATACATTTTCCTAACCTGGTAACCTGTAGAGCAGGGCTGTACAACCTTGGCAACTTTAAAACTTTGTCGAGCTCAGCTCCCAGAATTCTCCAGTCAGCTATGCTGGGGAAACCCCTGCTCTAGACATTACTGACATAGGTATCCACTTTTGACTAGCATGGTAGTGTTGGTGGGAAGTTATGGTTGTTGTAGTCCTGGAAGGTGGCATATTGGGGAAGGCAGGTATATATTTTGTGTTTCTACTGTTTGTAATATAGAATATCTATGTATAGTTCAAGTTTTGTCAGATTGCCTTTACATACAATATTAGCATTGTGTGGAGATTAATATAATGGACCGAGCAAATTCTGAGGCCATCAACAGTGTATGTGTTAGAAAAGAATGAAAGAAGTTTAACTGAATTGCCTTCTCTCCAGAATTATCACTTATCTCTCTTACTTGCAGGGAATGGCCCAATCCTGTCTTGCTGAAACAACCTGAAGAAAGCAATCTTAACTTGCCTGTCTGGGACCCCAGGGTTTGTAAAACACACCACTTTGAGATGACAACAGTACCAATTCTTGATGGAGGGTTTTTCAGTAGCCATTCCTCTTCTAAGAGATTATCTGTTCTGTGAGGGTCTTTTGAGTTGTGTGGGGCAACATGGGAGGAGAGGAAATGTTCACAGAGGAGAACAACTAATGTTTGGAACAAAATCCGCTTCTAGGCTGAATGTCCCTGTCTCATTTCAAGACAAAACACAGGCAGGGCATTGTGACATTGTTGTGTAATATCCTTTGTAATCAATTTTGCAGTTATGCTAAGACCTTGATTCATACTTTATTCTGAGCTATTTTTTAAATTGCTTTAGAATTATTGGCTGCTTTGGAATTGTCTATTCTGAGTGGAGAAAGGATGTTCCCTTATAAGTGAAGGTGTTTTCTCTGCATTTTGTATTGAATGCTAAACTTTAGTTAAAAGTTATAAAGCAGTTTCTGGACATGCACAAAATAGGTTGCCTGGATTATTTTTGGTATAATGACAATAGTCACTGTAAGACAGATTGGTGTTATATTCCCCTGTTTCAAATGGAGGTGAAGGTTTACATTTATATTTGGTTTTCTAAAGGCCAGCTGATGAGTTGTTGGTTGGTGAGATTTTTGGTTCATATTCTGAAGATTAGTTCTTCATGGAATCACCCATTCATCTGTGACAGGTAAATCCAGCTGACCGGTATCATCTGATGCCCATTATCACTCCAGCCTATCCACAGCAGAACTCCACATATAATGTGTCCACATCAACCCGAGCAATCATGGTGGAAGAATTCAAATATGGTAAACCATCTCCATTGCCTCTATATTTCGCATAGCAGAGTAAGAACAGTTTATTATTTGCTGGATAATCTGTTTGAAGAGTTTTGCATTTTCCTCTTTTGAATGGATACAAAGAAATGCTCTGGATCAGGGGTCCCCAACCCCCAGGCCATGCACCAGCACCGGGCCCTGGCATGCCAGAAACCGGGCCACAAAAACAAGTGAAACCCCATCCGCAGAATGCAGGCAGCACACAAAACCATGCCCCCTGTGGTCCGTGGAAAAACCTCTCTCCACAGAATCGGTCCCTGGTGCCTAAAAGATTGGGGGCCACTGCTCTGGATCATTTTTGTTCACTGGCAATCTTGTAGGAATGAATTTTCATTGATCAATATTGTTATTTTTGCAAAGGTGGGTGTCTAGTTATATGTTTTATTTATTTTTCTATTTATTATAATACTACTTCAATCAAAATGAATCTGTGCCACTTACAAAAGCAATTAATGACAACTAGCCATAGAAAAATACATAAAACTATCCTATGAATGAAGTTACTTCTGTATTAGTATCTGGTTGTTGCAGATATTTCTTAAAAGGACAAAGGAGACTTTATCCCAACATTCTTCCCCCTGCTTCACCTCAGCAGAATTTAGGGAAGAACGGCATTCTTTGGGAGAGAGGAGAAATTTCTCCTTGAATGTTTCAGGGTTGGAGGGATTTATTATTGGGGGTAGGAAGATTGACTTCATTCTCCCTTTCCTGCCAGGAGTATCTTTACTGAAGCCAGAAACAACAACAGCATTCATATCATTGTTGCTGGTTTTGCTTGGTCCTATTCCTATCATTGTAGCATTTTAAAGGAAACAATAGCCTTCTTAAAAATGGCAGCAGAATTGTTCTTTGGACAGGAGAGAATAGGGAGAAAAAAATTCACAAAGAAGTCTCTCTTTTAGTCATCTCTTGTTTCAAGGATTGTAGAAATGTGGCACTGGGAGTCTTGAACTCGATGTGTGGATTGGCAGAGCTAACTATTATTCCCCTTCTCTCTTTTCATATTCATCTCTTATTTCTGATAATATCCAATTATCACTACTGACTATCCAAGATGAGATGCACAAAGTGTTCCCATGCAATATGGGATAGGATGCCAGTCCAAAAAATAGAAAAAGCTGCACCAGAGACCCCAATGGGAAGAGTATTAGAATGGGCACAGCTGGAAAAAACAATGGGATAGTGGAGATTAAGGAAAGTTCTTGGTGAGGTCTGTTAAGATTTAGAATTCTTATAATTCTTAGCCTCAATGGCCTTTGTGGGACTGACACTTCTGAATTTATAACTGTTTGTTATAAAGCACTTACCATAGGTGTGCTATGTTTAAACAGGTCTCATGGTTACAGATGAAATTCTTCAAGGAAAATCGGATTGGTCAAAGCTGCTTGAGCCACCCAACTTTTTTCAAAAGTATAAGTATGTGAGATCACTAAAGGTTTCAGAATTCACATTTCAGCAACTAAATATTCTGTATTTTAGCTAGCGATGCATCCTAAGCAGCTTATGGGTATAAGCTTATATTAAAATAACAATAGTGGAAATATGGCATATTTAAAAAACTAACAGTGTTGGATCAAAGAAATCTGCATGTAATAATAACATGTGGCTAGTGATAGCTGGGCAGGGTAGAGAATGCAACATTGTTAGGAAATATATTTGCAATAGTGACTCATTAATTTTAATATTTATTTGTTATTTTTGAAATGTATTCGCCTGTAGTCAGCTCATGATATAGTACCATGTTACCAAAGTTAGAGAACATAATCTGCGCCCAAATAGTTTAACTAATCTTGGCAATGGAACTGCAAATAGCTGCACCCAAGGCCAGCCTTATCATTACATAAAGTAAGGCAATTCTTCGATTAACAACTGTTGGATGGTTGTGCCAGTGGCATGTTGGCTAATAGACCAGGCTGCTCTCTTCAAATAGATGCAGAATATTATCCTGAATATTAATCTAATAGTAGACTGCTAATGCATGGTAAACAAGAAGGAACATACTGATTTTCTGTTTGAAAATGTGTAGATTTTTTTTCATTGTGAAGATTTATGTTATATATTTTGAAATCAACAAAATATATTAAGCATTGCATAGGAATTTTAGAGACAGAACAACATACCTTATTTATTTAACCCTCTTGTAGAACAAAGGTGGCCTTTAGATAACTAAGTACCACATTTTTTGCAGCTCTGTAAATTATAATGAGCACTTTCAGTGTTTTTGGAAATATTATTTGGATTCTTGATTGATGCTGAAGCCTCCTTAGCCTTGATGTGGGAAAAGTGTATCAATACAGTTCAAGGTTAAGGAAGGTTTTAGAGGAGACTGTTATAAATAAAGTTAATAATTGAAGATTGAGTAGTAGAGTTTTAAATAGTTTTAACAGTAGTTTTAATAGTTTAATTTTAAAACTAAGACTATTACAATGTATCAAATTTTAGTTCTCTATTTTTTCCAGACACTATATTGTATTGACTGCTGTTTCTTCAACTGAAGAACATCATTTGGAATGGTAAGCCTATTTTTTAAATGCTGATAATAATCCCAATTTTAAAATCAAAAACATTTCAGAAGGGAATTGGGGAAAAACTGTCTCTCCCTTATAGTCTTCATTAAGAGCAGTAAGATTTATTTTCCAAATCAACTGAACATTTTACATTCAAGTATCCACATTAAAAATATGCTATATCATTTACAATGTATGAGCATAAAAATCAACATAATCTCATATATTCTGTATAAATTGTTCTGCAAGTTGTTCAGGTTATTCTGTTTTAAGATTTCAATTTATTTAACCACCTGCTCTGACTTCTGTATTTTGACAAGCTTTAACCACATGATTTCAGATGTGTCTACATGCATGAAGGGATAAAAATATTGAAAAAAAATAAAATTCTCAGTGCTAAGTTCTCTGCACACAACCACATCAAAAGAGTTGCAGAATGTACTCATTCTAGGCCCACCCATCATGTAATTCCTGTCTAATATCAGGTCAGTCCAATTTCTAACCATTTATCTGTTTTATGATTATACTCTACTAAGCCATAATGTTTGCTTTGGCTTAACATATTGTTTGAAACCATCCATTATGGTTCATAAGTCATAATTCATGGATTGGCATACTATGTACAGCCAAGCCAATTTTGATTTATTTAACAAACTATAGTTTTGCCTAGTATATAAATACAGTGTGCATCTGCTAAAAGAAAATCAGAATTGTTACATGTCATCCCATAATAATGTTTAGTTTCCAATAAACAAATACAAATAATTGGAGAACACATTTAAATAGAGATAGGTGCTTTTTTGCTGGGCCAAGGTCCTAATGCCTAGGACAAATGTCTCCATTTTGATTGTCTCCAGTGAGAACCGATAACTCTTCCAGAGGATTCCAATGATGTCTCTGATCCTGATCATCATCTTTATTCATTCTCCTTTTCTTCTCTTCAATCATAATAGTTGTTTTTAATAGTCTATCATATGTACACATTGCATGCCTCAAATATGAGTTTCTGTTTATACATAATCTCAAGGGAGTAACCAATGGTTAATTAGCCCAGGATGGATTGATTGATTCCTCTTGCTGTCTGTAGTTATTGTGGTCTTGTCTGAATCCCTGACACAGAAACTAAAGAGACAGACCAGCAGCTTGAGTGATCAAAAAGTAATTAGCACCCACAGCAGTTTTGGGAGACAATGAGCCTTAACAAGGGAGACCCAGGGCCAGGTTCTGGTAGGATGCCTCCCTCAAGAACAAGTGGCAGCTGCAAAGGACTGAAAAAAGACAAATAATAGCATGCCTCCTTGAGAGGAGAGGGTACTAATATTGCTAATCCAAGCACATTGGCTGGATCTGGGTCTATATAAGAACTCCATTGGAAAAAAGTCATATACTGAAAAAATTTCACCTGCATTTCTGTCACCTTGCTCTGCATTTGGACTCTATCAGACTGGCTCCTGGAATTCTCTAGTGATCAAACAGTGGACTGTTACAGTCAACTCTTGTAGCTCTGCCTTTCTTTGTTCCTGCTGGTAGATTGTTATGGTTCAACGTAATGGATTCTTTGAACTTTTCAAGGTGTAAACATTATTTGGCTTTATTTATTGGTTTATTCAATTCATTCATCCTGATTCTTATCAGAAAAATTATGACAAAGCAACAAAATCCTGCAAACTTCTATGTCCCTGGCATTTATTTTTGCTTTAGTGCAGGGGTGTCAAACTGCCGGTCCACGGTCCAGATGCGTCATGCCAAAACCGCGCCCATCCCATTGCTGGCAATGGAAAAAAAAGTCACAATACGTCGCAACATGTCATATGACGTTGCGAGTTTGACACCCCTGCTTTAGTGGATCCAGATACTAACATTCTTAGTCAACATCACCAGATCTATTATTCTAAGGTGTGAACTTTTTTTCACTGTTCCACTTTCACAGATATGCATCACCATTGAGAAGAACCTTGCTTTAAATATTCTGATCTTCATCTTAAGAATATCATAATCCTTCCTGATCTTGTTTAATAGTGCATCTTACAATTAACATCCTATTTATTTTTCTGTATGTATGTAAAGGACTTAGAGCCCCAGGTTTCCTGATTATATTGACATTTATGATAACATTAACTATCCATCTTCATTTTAAGTCAAAGAAAATAAAACTATGTACCACAATCACTTTTTCATTTTCAATTATAAATTCACTAATGCTAATTGATGCTGTCATCTTAATAATTAGCACTAATTCACATTTTCATTTCGTAACAAGCTCTTTACATTCAGCTAACAAACTGGTATTGTCTATGTATCTCAGACTATTAAGAGTTTAAATTTCCAGTTTTGGTTCCAGTTGTCATCTTTAAAATCTTGTCATTCTTATATTTGTTGAGACAGTTAGACTATATTCATCCTTATTTTACTTCCTTCCGTATACTGAGACACTGTGTTTCCAAAGTCACTACTCATAGTAGCTTCTTGTTAATTGTAAATGTTCCTCAGAGGAATAATCAGATGTTCTGACACACCATGAGTTCCACATTCTGGCATGAACTTCTTAGTCAAAGGGCTTGCTGTAGTTAATAATACAGAGTTGCCCTCTTATATTTTCTTGTTCTCATTGTGAAAACATAAAAACAACCTAAAAATTTTTATGTTCCTGGAACTTTCTCCCTTCAGAGTTGATGACCCAACTTGTTGTCCTTTGATAGGGCTTGGATGACTTGGCTTTATGTTGTGGTTTGGGGCTCTAAGTATGTAAAGGACTTAGAGCCCCAGGTTTCCTGATTATATTGACATTTATGATAACATTTTTTACTCAGCTGCCACACATCTTTAACTTTGTACTATATTGTAATTGTTTTTAATCATTTTATGATTGTTCACTGCCCATAATCACTTGTCTGAGATGGATGGTTTAGAAAATAAATAAACAAACAAATAAATAAATAGTAAAACAAAGGAGCATAAAATAAAATATGTTCACAAAGGAAAATGCACAACATAGATTTTAAACAAGCTTAGCGCATGTGGGAAATTTAAAGTGGAAATAATAAAAAACAAATGGATAGCAAACCTCACTGAGAAGGCCTTCAATTCAGTGGATCATTTGAGGAAGAGATTAAAATATTCAGTTTGATTCTTGTGGGAGAAGATCACTTTGCAAGTACTGCCCTTTTACCTGATTCCTGATACCCTTTAAAAATGAAAAACAGTTTTTAAGTTCCACCCACAACACACTGGAAGTAGCACATGCATATTAAAGTTAAATGACCCCAGAGCAATCATCAATAAAAGACTTTTCTGCAATTTGCAAATAATTTTATTATATGTATTATTATTTTATTGTTTATAAATATTAAATAGAGAAAAATACAAAAGCTACTTGGAAAAGTAAATACTTTTCCTGTTCTTTATACTCCAACTGATTTGCAATATTTGTAAACATTTAGACCTTTTCAGAAACCATACATTTTGCAGCCCAAGAGAATTATCATTATCATTATCTGGTTGATTGTTTTATGATCTCAACCTAAAGAAAGGCAATGCTGGTCCAAAGACTACTTTACTCTGATGGACAGTATATAAACTTAATCCTTTAAAAAAGGAGATGATGTTACCTCATAAATCAGTGTCAGCCTTTTTCCCCCAAGTCTAATTTAAATATAGCTGTTATATGACATTGAGGGTTTTGTTGTGCTAATTATCTGGTGCTTTTTAATTTATTACTTTTTATTCCTGTGTGTTTCAAACTTGTGATGGATATTTTTATTTCTGAAATAAGCATTCATCCTATGGATGTAAAGAATTCTAAATGCTGAAAATAATATTTTCCAATATTAAATCTCTTTCTTGTGTTTCATGCATTGCTCCCTCAAATTGCACAGTGCCATGTTTCCAAAGGTAGTTGGGAGTTCTTGGTATTCTTACACATTGCTGATTTTTTCTCTGTAGGATTGGCTTGGTGGAGTCTAAAATCCGTGTGCTTGTTGGACACTTGGAGAGAAATGAATTTATTACTCTTGCCCATGTAAATCCTCAATCCTTCAGTGGGAACAGGGATCAGTACAAAGAGTGAGTTAATGTCAACACTATTGTATTGTGTTGAATTGATGTCTGTTTTTGAAGAGAGGCTAACATTGCTAGTTAGAAAGCCTTGTATAGCTTCTGTCGTTCCATCCTCAATTGTTTCCTTGGATAATGACAAAGCAAGCAATGGGAAAATATGGGAAGCACATAATAATCTTGCTTAATCTATAGGCACCTTTAGTCTGTTGTAGCACAAATGTGATTTGTGTCACAACTGATCTGAAACCTTTAAGGTACACCATTATTAACGGTTGGATTTTATATTTTGTCAAATAGTTGTATGTCTGGAAATTCTCAGTCATCCAAGTCATGATTGTCCCAAAAGTACTTTTCAAAAGGCAACTGGACTTTCTTTGGGTTTTTTTTCCTTGAAGACATTTCACTTCTCATCCAAGAAGCTTCTTTAGTTCTGAAGAAAGTTTGGTTGCCTTTTGAAAAGCACCTTTGGTCAAATAGTTTCAAATAACGTTCTTAGCAAACTTTGAGGGAGCCCTAGATTCACTCTATCTGTCTGTCTGTCTGTCTGTCTGTCTGTCTGTCTGTCTGTCTGTCTGTCTGTCTATTTATCTATCTATCTATCTATCTATCTATCTATCTATCTATCTATCTATCTATCTATTATAAATAAAACCTATAAGGCTGCCTATCTTACACTGAAAATCCTAGGCAGCTCACAATGACATAAAACCAATTGAACCCCACAGCAACACCATATAACCAAACCATAGCACCAGAACCTCCTACTTACTTTACATTTACATTTGCTGGACTCCCTTTGATCTTTGCCCAATGTGAGGTTTTCATAGCCCTCCAGAAGGGCTAATAGGGTAGAGAACCTCCAGATCTCAAGAGGCCAGGGTGCCCTCCGAAAAGGAGCCATACTTACTTATAAATTAACACGGAGTTAGTTTTAATATCAGTAACAATACTATTACTCTCTATTTTCTTTTAAAGCAACCAGTCTGATAATTCCTAGTGACTGGAAAATGTACATGTTTTGTAATCTTGAATTGCCCAGTAAAGTATGATTCAAAGGGACTTTGGATGGTTTAAATATCTAATATGGTTGGTTTTTGTCTTTTCAATGGGATTAGAATGTAAATAAGTATTGGGTTTATAAATACATATGGCCTAAAGGAATAAAACTATGGAAGAGAGCATTTACAAGGAATGACTAACTCATGTGAATGAAGTTGCTTACTTTGAACTTGTCTTTGCACATTTCCCTCTTTTTGTACCCACCTGGCCAGGTAAGAATAGAAGCAGATAGACTGTTTTGTAGTAGAATCAGTTGATGAGAAAACAGTTCAGCTTCTTCCTGGCTGATTATATTCCTGGTTCCCATAATAAGTGCCAAAGGGGTAGGGAACCTACAGCATTCAGCCGCATTCAACACTTGAGGCCATTTAGTGTGCTTTTGCATGTCCTCTCCAGAATTCTCTGTGATGCAGCTGCTGTGCAAGTTTTCTGAAAGCCCTGTTCCTGCTAACTCTCAAGTCAAGGAAGACCTCTCAGTGCAGATACCAGAAGCTTCTAGGAGAGCTTGTGAAGTGTGTGAGCTCTGTAGCTATTTGGGCCTTATAGAAACAGGGCCTTTCAGAAAATGAATAGTGTGAAAGCAAGGAAACAAGTAGAGAAAAGAACAAAAGTAAAATGGCAGTTATTTTGCTAAAACCTTCTCTCTCCATTGACCTTGTTAAATTAAAAGTGAGATAGGGAGTGTTCATCTTCTTTTTTCCAGTGAGCACACTATAGCTGAGTGATTTTACACCTGAGTTTTCTCACTCTCTTTTGTCCAGTTATGTGTGAATTTAGATGAATGTGTGCATGTAGATATATGTGTATGCAGTTGGTATGCATGTCCGGCCTAGCTGAGTACTCCATAAAGTCCACTGTTCCCAATACATAGTTTCCTCTTCATTAGAATAATAAAATTCTGCATTGCAAAGTCCATAATTCCTTTATAACATATAATTTTGTTCTTTGTTATTTTGACATCTGAATCTCTGCAAGGAAATCAGTCTAATGCAGAAGTAATTTGCATTTAGCTCTTACCCAGAACACTTTTGGCATTGGAGCATTTGGTAATATGTTGTTTTGTGTCTCTCCGTCTAGAAGTGATTATGTGTCAATATGGTTTCTGGGAATAATTTTCAAGAAACTGGAGAATGCAGAGAGTGTAAGCATTGACTTAACCTATGATATCCAGTCATTCACAGATACAGGTAAATTTTTCTCTCCTTAAAAGTCCTGTTCTGAATAGACCATTATTATTTTAGATGGATGCCTCATTTTAGTATACGGTAGTGCCTCTGACATCTTGGCAACCAAGTGAAATGTCATCCATAATGTGGTGGCTTATAAAAATGAGAAAAGGAATATTTACATATTAAATTTCTATACTGCCCATCACACCAAAGTGACTATGGGTGGCTTACAACAATATGCCAATATGGCCACAGAGAAGATTTGAAAATGAAGCATAATCCATGCTGAAGTAAATTTCTCCCTTAAATAATTTTTTTCCCAAAGATTTACTATTTTTTAAATATCTTTAAAGCCTATTAGACTGACAAAGTCCTGATTTCTTGACTGCAAGAGAACACATGGTTTGCTCACTATTTAATCACATCCTTTATATCTATATTGAGCTTACTTTTAGATGAATCTGCTTCCTACAGCCTTGGAATTATTGGCAATAGTGTAAAGTTCACTATAATCAATGGGAGTTTCTCTTAACTATGCTGTAGAGAAGCATTTATCTTTCCAAGCAGTGTTCTTGGAATTTAATTAGATTCTGTAGTAGGTTTTGCCATTAGAATTAATAGGAGTTTTACAATGGACTCCCCTGGATACATCTTCGCACAAGTCCAATTAGGACTTGTCCTTTCCCAGAGGAAGAAAAATAGGCTTACTTTTCAAAATGTATGAGGTTTTTATTTAGAGATGAAAAGTGCCTTGTGAAATGTAGTTAGTGAGCCTAGAAAATTCTGCAGAGGCTATTTTTGAAAGCTGAACATTGCTGTAAGCAACTTAGGTGTGTATTCATTGGAAAGAAAGAAAAAGCCAAAATTCATGATCATATGTTTTCCAAAGTGGAGCCCTCTGCCCAATAATGTGTTGGAGCTTACTCATACCAGTTTTCCAACTGCTGATTGTTAAATTTTCTGGAATTTTGTGAGCCACTTGAGAGCAAAGATGAGCCTCCAACCTGACACACTGATCAGCTGTTCAGTGACTAGCAATGTGGCAGTAGCAATGGAGCCGGCAGAGTCAATTATTAAACCCTATCAGCATGCCACTGCCTCTGCCCCTATACAGAGACTAGGAAAATTATTTCTTGATATAAAAATATAAACAGACCTCAACTTATGGTCACAACTGAGCCTGGAATTTTGGTTATATTTCACTGCAGTCATAAATCAAATCACCACATGACCAGACTAGATTTTATAGTTGTTTTTATGATAGTCGTTGAGTGAATCACATTGTTGTAAGTCCAAATCTAACTCATCCAAAGAGTGCTTTTTGCCATTTTTTTTTACCAGAAAATAACAAACAAACGTTGCAAACATGATCATGTAACCATGAGATGCTGCAACTGGTTATAAATGCAAGCCAGTTGTGCCCAAATGCCCAAAATGCAATCATGTGACTACAGGAGTTATGTAGCAATCATAACTTTGAGGATGGGTCGTAAATAACTTTTTCGAATCTGTTGTAACTTTGAATGGTTGTTAAGCAACAGGGCATAAGCTAAGGACTACCTTCAAGATTTATTCAATGTATTGGCATGTATCTGCTAGAGTAGAAATGTCTCCTGTAAACCAGGTGATGTAATATATTGGATACAAAGGTATACATGTATATACTATTCTAACTATATAAGCTAAATTGTTATAGGAAGGGAGATCAGTCCCTTCCCCTTTTATTAATTTATTTTTTTATTGAACAAAATCTGGTTTTAAGTTATATAAGCCCTTTATTAGAAAACATGTAATAATTTTATATTAGTTTAATGGAGACAATAAACCATCTGGCAGTTGTTGTGTTATGAAATCTAGTTTCTTTTTTATATGTATAAATATTTTATTAATTTTCTATTTTTGCAAACAAGTACTTAATAGACAACGTGTTGACTGGGTCCATTAGTAATTCCGTGGTACGTATAAGCTTCTTCAAACTAAATCCAATATTACACCATCCAATACATCCTCTCTTCTTCGGGTAATAAACTTTTTCCCACATTAAGCAAATACAATTCTTATTGTTGTTAATAAATATACAGTTGAATATCAACATTTATTACAGTTTTCTAATAGTATCAATGATATCAATTTAAAATATCTTTTCTAACCAAAACATATCTTAATTGCATTTGCACTCAATATCCATTTATTCAGTCAGTATCCTATTTTCACTTTTTTTCAATTTTAATTTTCCATCCATGTTCAAAATATCCCAATCATTTATAATTTCAAAACAAGTTATATTCATTAACCAAAAGCTTCCCATATTCAAACTTCTTAGCATTCTCTTATTTCCCTTTTCATGCCAAAATATGATATTCTGATTACCAATCTTATCTATCTAGTTGTAATAATACTTCTATTTCTAGCAATCTATTCTTAACCATATTCAAACATCTAATTAATAATATAATATCCCCTCTAATAGGTCAAAGCTTCTGTTTTCTTCAGTCTTACTCTAGCTTTCTTCCTTTGCCAACTAACTTTCCAAGTCAGTGCATTTGGATCATCAAATAATTCTTCCTCTATTTTTGTGTATATTATTTGGAGCAAAAGAAACAATTTAGTTAAAGTATTTTTGGAAGAGCTAGCCCATTGACATTCATTAAACAGCCTCCCTCCTTCTCCAGTTCCCCACAGTTCTGTCTCTATCATCCATTCCATCGGGTTTCCTTCCTTATCCTCCAGTATGCTCTGAAATATTGGTTGAAAAAATGTCTTTTCCATTTCCAATATGTCTTCTAGTTCTTCATTTGTCTGAGTCTGGCTGTTAGTTTTTTCCTTTAGTTCCTCCATATTTGGGTCAGCTTTCTCTAGTTTTCCTTCTATTTTCTGGGTTGCTACTTCCTTCTCTGTGGTTATTTTCTGAGTTTGTAGATTTAAATTAGAAAATTGTTCTTTTATCTCCTTTGTGTTGTTTTTAATCTCATCACAAGCTAAGGCAATTGTTTCTTGTATTAATTTCAACATGGAGAGAATTTCTTTCTGTGATTAATCAGTATTTTCTTGGTGGTATGTCAAACTGAGGCTTCTGGAGACAGATGTTAAAGATGGTTTTTTTACTATTTAAAGCTAAATGTGGAACATCCATTTTATTTTTTGTAAATGGCCTTTATAGAAATCTGTTCAAGAATATAGAAAATTTCAGTTGTCATTGGAGCTCCAGATTATCCAACCAACTTATCAATCTGTTCTTAAACCTCCCCTAAGCAAATATAAGTAAAATTCAATTTTTTCTGTCCAATGAGAAGTATATCCTTTCTGTTCAGGGAGATGAAAGAACCATTAAAAGTTGTTTATCAATCAAGATTTATAATCCAAAATGTTCCATCATATCAGGCAATAGTGTATATTTCTTCTACAGGAAAATAGTTCCACAATACAGTTCTGAAAGTCAGTATTTGTGTTCGTAGTTCAGACAGGCCAATTTTAGAATAGTTTATCATCTCTGCTACACAGATAAGCACCCCCCCAAGCCTTTTTCCTTTTCTCAGCTGCAATCTTCAAAGTAAAAGCTTCCAAGGCCAGTCAGAGTTTTATATAAGTCTGGGCTTCGAGACAGGTTTCTTTTAGGCATAATAAGTTGTAGTGCCGTAATTCACCACTAGATGTCATTGATGCCGTTTTCCAGTTTTTTAAATCCAAAACTTATATTGCAAACTTTTCAAGTCTCTTTTTTAAAAAAAAAGTCTTAAAAGCACTTTTAGTCCCCAAATTTCCAAGGCATATATATATAAATTCCAACTTAGTCTTGTAGTTTTCTCCATTTTCCCCAAATAATTAAATCGCCACTTTTCTTTTCCTGAGGGAATGGGGCAGAAATTCCCCTTCCCTCTCTCATCGGGGGTGTGCTTTGGGCAGTTTTTCAGGAACAGGTCTTAAAATCATAAAGAGAGGATCAGGTCTCACTCAGTTTCATCCATGTTGCTGTAATGTTGCTTGTTGGTGCTTATTGTCTTCCGTTGTCAGCGGCTTTTCACTGACTACACGAATGTAGCCAGTCTTTCTCCCGCCAATTTGGAGGGTTTCCTCGGATCAAATGGAAGGGCTGCCCCCCTCCTGCGATCAACGAGGGTCCCCTCCTTGCTGTTGCCTCTATGGGGCGATTTTCGACCGTCTCCAGGGTCCCCAGCGGGGCAAAATCAAATGCGAAAGACAGAACCCTCTCCTCCTGCATCCGTTTCGCCTTGACGTCAAAACTGGAAACCTGTTATGGAATCTAGTTTTTAATACACTAGCTCCCATTTAATGATACTTATGTAGACAAAGTTAACATGTCTAGTATGCTTCAGTATTTTATTGCATGATCAAACTAATAAACTAAAGAAGATTGATGCTTAATTCTCCTGGGGAAAAAAACTTATCTAGGCTTTCACTTCAGAAAGGATAGTACTGATTAAGAATCAGATTAAGAATCATTCCAGAAGAAAAAAAGATTGTGCTTGTATCCCTAGGTTCCCTGCTTGTAAAATTAAATCTACCAATAAGATAGGACCATTAGACAACCTAAGAGTCTTCAGGAACTGAGGTATCAGGAGTCATAATGCATATGCATTGCAAAAATAAACTGGATTAGATAATTTTCTTTATTTCTGTTCACTGATCATGTGGCAGAACTCTATGGCTTCATTTTATTACCTGAAGATAGAATAATATTGTAGTAACCAATCTGATATCTGCTTTATGGACTGGGAAGTTTGTTCCAGCAGCAGCAGAACAGCAAGTTAAAGGCTGATCAAAGTTGCTTGAGTTGTTGGATAACTTCTTGACTTTGTCATCTTTGTTTTTAGTTTATAGGCAGGCAAACAATATCAACATGTTGAAAGAAGGCATGAAGATTGAAGCTACTCATGTGAGGAAGAAACAACTCCACTTTTATTTGCCAGCAGATGTCTTACAGAAGAGGAAAAAGGTTGGCCCAAATTTTGTTTTTTCTGACAATGCTTCATTTAAAGATCTGGGTATTTAAACTGAAATTATCTCAACAGAGCGTGCCTGATCTTGGTGGACATGCTTGTGGGGTCATGTTGAAAAAGACAATGGAAAATAATAGTGGTTTGGACACTTACAGCAGTGCAGAAGTTACCACACAGTGCAATACTGTTCCCTCATTCAACAACGTGGTGGAATATTGCTGTAAATCTTTTTCAAAAGGGATAGAAAGGTAGGTGTTGTGTGGCTGTGTCAAGTGTATGTCATATGGGTGGCATCAGTATTACTTTTAAGATGTGAGAGTACAAAGTACTCCTGTATATGAGAAATTGGCACTCAGACCACTGCCTTTTCCAAGGTTCACTTCTTGGTACAAAATGGCATGGTTGAGATTCTCACAACTCTGCTCTTCACTGATCTAACTACATGAAATGGGAAGAATGGCAATTCTTGGAGTGGAAGGATGAGAGTTTAAGTCAGCAATGAGTAATTTGTATGGGTATTTGTATGATTTTTTTAGGCCTTGGAAGGCCAGAATGATATGATATATACCACCAAAATAGGAGGGAAAAAATGTTCAGCCAGTTCTTTGTTCTTTGAGGGATTTATAGGACTTAAGGGGCAAAAGGTGTGCACTCATAAGAGATTTAAGATACCTGTATTTTGCAAAAATAGGGGAGGCGAAAAAATCTGCTTTGTAAAATCATGGTCCCACAAAATATGATTTGTCCATTCCTGAGCCAGCTTATGTTGTGTTGATAACAAAGCAGAATAGGCTTCCCAGAGGCTTACTAAAGAGTAGAACCTGGTCCGCTCATTCATTGTGTTCAATAAATCCGCACTACATTTCCCAAACTTTTGTTCATGATTACTTCTTGCATCTTTTTGGTCAAATTTCTGTCAGACACTCTGGCAGTCCCACTTTAAAAAAATATCCCAGGTAATTCTTGTGTTTACTTTTGTTACTTTTACTTTTGAAGAGAGCACAATTTCTCATACAGATCTCTGAAATGCTTCTTCCAACATTTCCTCACTTTGTTCCATTAATACACTCATTCAATAGTCTCATTACTTTTATTTTTAGTTCTGGTCACTATGTTGGAGGCTCCTTGTTTAGTCCTCGTCACTCACCCAAGCAATTTGTTTCCATCAAAATCATTAAGCATTTTTCTTTTTCTTTTAATTTTAGCCACATGAGGTCATTTTGACTTCATTCTTTTCAACTACCTTTTTTTCCTGTAGACATTATCTCTCTTTATCCTTATTTTGCAGTAATTCTTTTTCCTCACTTACAGCCTCTTCCCATCATCATTCTACCAAGCATCCTTTTACATGTTTTCATTAATAACTCCACAGACTTTTATGACACGTATAACATAATACTTTTCTCTCTTTTTCAAGCAGCTTCCAAATTTTCTTTCCTTAAATCATACAGAATTTCCCTAATCAATTCCCTCAGTTTTTCATCATAAATAATCAGATCAGTTATGTTTCCTCATTCACTCTTCTTTTTTATGTGTGCTTATGAATAGACTTATTCTTAAACCATGTATCTCAAATAGACTTTTTCTAAACACATACGTCCCAATTGTCATTCTCCTCAATTCCCATCTATTCATTGTCATTCTCATCCATTTTCCCATTTTATTATGGAAGGCTTTTATCGTAATGTCTCCTCATCTCCATGAAATGAATCCGTAGCTAGCTGACCGGCCGTACTCAGCGTGTGGTCCTCAATGGAACTGCATCTACATGGAGGGAAGTGTGTAGTGGGGTGCCCCAGGGCTCTGTTCTGGGCCCAGTGCTCATCAACATCTTCATCAACGATTTGGACAAGGGGATAGATAGGGAAATCATCAAATTTGCAGACGACACCAAGCTGGCAGGAATAGCCAACACTCCAGAAGACAGGCTTAGGATACAGGAGGATCTGGACAGACTTGAACACTGGACGCTATCTAACAAAATGAAATTCAATGGTGAAAAAAGTAAGGTTCTACATTTAGGCAAGAAAAACCAAATGTACAGGTATAGTATAGGGGGTACCTTGCT